CGGAAGGATCGCCAGAGCCCAGCAGGTCGAGGCTGTGGTGGCTGGGAGCGGCCACTGCACTCCAGTCTGGGCGACAGAGTGAGACTCCAACTAAAAAAAAATAAAAAAGAAAAACTCACCCTGGATAAGACCAGATATAGGAGAGCCAGATATAGGAGAGCCAATGTGAAGGACAGAGGGATGTCTATCAAAAGCACCAAATGATTGCTGTCAGAATTATAATTACTTTTTATTTATTATTTATCTTTTGTTTATTTAGTGCCAGACCCTGAACCAGGATAGATTTCTACCATTCCTATAGATCACTGGTTCACATCCAGGTAGAGGAAACAGACCAAAATCACATGGTGGAATTTTTCTAAATACAGACTGCCAGACATGGGAACTATTTATCACTCATTCATTCATAAACACATATGGAATGCCTATGATATGCTAGCCACTGCTCTATGGGCTGGAGATATACCAGTAAACAAAAGTTCCCTCATTTCATGGTGGGGATGACACAATCAATAAACTAAATAATGTCAGCAAGATAATGTTTTAAAGAAAATGAAATTGTGGTAAAAGAGCATTTTAGGATTCTGCTCCTGTGAAGTTATTTTGAATAAGGTCATGTGGAAGGCCTCTTTAATAAAGTAACAATTAGTTCTTTCTGGCATGTCTATCTTTCCCCTTCTTCTTCTTCTTTTTTTTTTTAATAACTTATGTTCTAAAACTAAAAAAAAAAGAAAGTAATGATTAAGCAGAAACCTAAAAGTGAGAGTTTTGCCATATGGCAGAAAACTATGCCAGGCAGAGGAAAACAGAAAGTAGAAATTAGCACAGCAAATTCAAGTAACAGCAAGAAGACCAGTATGGCTAAAGAGCACTGAGTGCTCAAAAGCACTAGTAGCAGATAAGGGCAGAGGTCAGGAGGAACCAGATCCTGGAGGGTCCTAAGGCCTTGGTTAGGAGACTGGAAGCAAGAAAATGTAATGATCTGATTAGGTTTAAAAAAAATCACTCTAGCTTCTGTGTAAAAAACAGACTGTAGGAGGGCAAGAGCGGAGGCAGGGGCACCAGTCAGAAAGCCACTGAAGTAGACCTAGTCCAAGATGATGCTGGCACAGACCAGGGTGTTAACAGTATAAGTGGAACTAAAACAAACTTGCTAATGAATTATTAGTGGGGTATAATGGCAAGATCAAAGTAAAGGATGACTACGTTTTCTCACCCTGGGCAACGGATAATGGTGGTGTCCTTTAGTGATATGGAAAAGACATAGAGGAGCAGGTTTAGTGGGGAGAGGAATCAAAATTTAAATGAAGGATAAGGAATGAGCATATGCAGTGGAAAAAGCTTCCCAGGTGATCTGGTTATACTAACTTCTCCCTTCTCCCCACATCATCTAGTTGAGAACCAACCAGCTACTGGAAGAGTGAGACCCCCTTCACAGGGGTTCATTCTCAGTAAGCTGAAAACAGTACAGACTACTCAACTTCTACACAAAGAGAAGGAAAAATCTTTACCTAGAGAGATGACAGTCTCATAGTTTTCCTGCATTACATCATTGTAGAGGGCCTTCTGAGTGGGATCCAATAACTCCCACTCTTCCTGGGAGAAATACATAGCCACTTCTTCAAATGTCAATAAGCTCTAAAGAAGAGAATGAACTTCAACTCAGAACTTGCCACTGCAGAAGCAGCTTGACCACCTAGCTATGAACTGCTTGGTAAGTCAAATACTAAAAGAATTAACAGTACATGATTTTTTTTCACAGTGAGAAAGGCAAAAAGGAAGGAGCCAAGGGATCAGCAAACAGCCAGGGAGGTACCCAGTTCACTCTGGGCCAAGCCAAACCTCTGGGGCTAATATGCCTCAGGTCGCCTGCTGAGCAGTGTGGGTCTTGGGCAGCAGGGAAAGGCAGATGAGGTCATTCTCAAGCAGCCCTAACAGCTGTAAAGTACAGCTCACCTGGAACTCAGGCAAGATGAGCTCAGGTGTCACTGTCCAGCCTTTGGCGTTTGTCTGCTCAGGAAAGGTTAGAATCTGTTGAGCAGCCACAGCTGTGGGTGGAAAAGAGCCAGAAGAAATTGTTCTTGTTTCTATGAACTCCTGAGCTCATTTCTAAAACAGAGAAGATCCCGATTCCTTTGATAAAAATGGGATACTTTTCTAAGTGTGTGTGTGGTAACCAGAAGTGTAAATTCATTGTAAATTAGAATCAAATATCTACCAGCCCCTAGAACTGGTCCATCAGATGATTGTTCTGAGTTTTCAAGAGTAAAGTTAATAAAAGATATTTAGTTTTTTCCCCCCTTGCATGACATACAAGGTCGGACCCAAAAAAAACCCAGAATTATTTTTTGGAGAATGGGCCCCTTGTAGTACAGGCTTCTCCCGTTAGCTAAGAACAATTGGCATCAGTAGGTTTGGTTTTGTTTTGTTTTTTAAGATTGTTTCGATGCATTTGTCCATTTCACAATGGGTGATATTGGAGCATACTTGCCCACACCGTGCTGAGGGTTCAGCAGTTTTTGACCAAAAATGGCTGCACCCCTGTGCTCCACCCTCTCTATTCATCCTTATCCTGAGTGACTTGTTTTCCCAGATGAAAAAGTCCTCAAAGGGAAACATTTTGCCAATATCGAAGAGAGAAAATGAAAAATGGCAGAAGCAGAAAAAGGCATCAAACCTACAAGTTCAAAAACTGTTTTGAAAAAAGCATCTTGACAGATGTACTGTAACAAATGGAGAGTATTTTGAAGGTGACTGAAGTTTAAACATGTCAGAATAAATACACAATTATTATTATTGAGTCAGTCTCACTCTGTTGCCTAGGCTAGAGTGCAGCGGCATGCTCACGGCCACCCCAGCATCATCCTGCTGGGCTCAGGGGATCCTTCTGCCTCAGTCTTCCAAGTAGCTGGAACTGCAGGTATGCACTACCACACCTGGCTAATTTTTTGATAAACTGTAGAGACAAGGTCTCGCCAAGCTACCCAAGCTGGTCTCAAACCCCTGAGCTCAGGCAATCCTCTCACCTTGGCCTCCTAAAATGCTGGGATTACAGGCTTGAGCCATCGTGCCCAGTCAAATATAATTTTTAATAAATAAATCCTGGTTTGTTTGGGGTCTCCTCTTGTAAATTGTTTTGAGTTGAGCAAAATTTAGAGGTGTTTGAAAAATGAAGTACTTAGGATTCCAGTGTGACAAATAAAGGACAGAAGGATAAAAAATGAACAACAAATTAATGTAACAGCAAGAAGACCAGTAAGGCTCAAGAGGACTGGGCAAGAGCATGAGTAGCAGGAGATGAAGGCAAAGTGGTGAGTAGGAACCAGACATGGAGGGTCTTGGTGAGGAGACTGAATTTTTTTCTGAATATAATAAGTGACCACAGGCTTTTGAAGCAAGAAATTGTTATAGTCTGATTAGGTTTTTGAAAGAATCACTCTGGCTTGGGTAAAAACAAACTATGGAAGGGCAAGAGTAAAAGCAGGGGGATGCCAGTTAAACACCTACTGAAGTAGACCTGGTTCAAGATGATGCTGCTTAGACCAGGATGCTAATAGTGCAAGAAGCTAAGTGAGACATGATTGGACTCAGGATAAGTCAAAGTAGAGCCAAGAAAACTTGCTGATGAATGAATAGTGAGGTATGATGGCAAGGTGAGAGTAAAGGATGACTGCAAGTTTTTCAGCCTGATACCAGGTAAATGGTGGGGCCCTTTACTGAAATGGGAAAGGCATAATATCTAATTTGAAGGGAAGTAGGAGGAAGGGATAAACAATTTTATGGAAAAAAATGAGCATGTGCATTTGGAATAAGCTCCCCAGATGATCTGAATACACCTTTCCCCTCCCCCACACCCTCTGAAAATCAACCAGTTACTGGAAGAGTGAAATCCCCTCATAGGGGTTAATTCTCAGTAAGCTGAAAACAGTACAGACTACTCAACTTCTACACAAAGGGAAGGAAAAATCTTTACCTAGAGAGATGACAGTCTCATAGTTTTCCTGCATTACATCATTGTAGAGAGCCTTCTGAGTGGGATCCAGTAACACCCATTCTTCCTGAGAGAAATACATAGCCACTTCTTCAAATGTCAACAAGCTCTAAAGAAAAGAATGAACTTCAGTTCAGAACTTGCCACTGCAGAAGCAGCTTGACCAACTGGCTATGAACTGCATGGTAGGTCAAGCACTAAAGAATCAACAGCACACAATTTCTTTTACAAAATGAGAAAGGAAGAAAGGAAGGAACCAAAGGATCAGCAAACTGCATGGAAGGTATCCAGTTTCCCAAGGCAAAACATCTGGATCTAATACACCTCTGAGTCCCTCCTGGGCAGTATAAATCATGGGCAACAGGGAAAGGCAGCCCAAAACATCTGGAAAGCACAGTTTACCTGGGACTCGGGCAAGATGATTTCAGGTGCCACTGTCCAGTCTTTGGTGTTTGTCTGCTCAGGAAAGGTTAGAATCTGTTGAGCAGGTACAGCTGTGGGCGGAAAAAAGCCAGAGGAAATCTGTTTTCAAGAACATCCTGAGTTCATTTCTAAAATATAGATCCCGATTCTTTCAGTACATGGGGTACCTTTACAAGTGTGTGGTATGTGTAATGCCTAAGAGGCCTCCTCATAAAGAACCAAATATTTACCATTCCTAGAACCAGTTCCCCAGTTGACCATTTCCTCAGTTTTCATGAGAAATAAATTACCTTTTTATCATTCTCTCATGACATAAATTGTTCTGAATTGAATATTAAAGATTTGTGTGTGTGTGTGAGTTAGAGTCTCACTCGTCTAAGCTGGAGTGCAGTGGCACGCTCACGGCCACTGTAGCCTTGGCCTGCTGGGCTCAGGCGATCCTTCTGCCTCAGCCTTCCAAGTATCTGGAACTACAGATGCACGCCATCACACCTGGCTAGTTTTTGTGATTTACTGTAGAGACAAGGTCTCACCAAGTTGCCCAGGCTGGTCTCGAACCCCTGGGCTCAGGCAATCCTCTCTTCTCGGCCTCCCAAAGTGCTGGGATTACAGGCTGAGCCACCATGTCTGGTCTAAAGATATTTTAAAATTAAGTACTCAGGGATTCCAGTGAGATGAAGCTAAGGTAAGAGGTGAAGTTTTTCATCTTTTATTATTTTTTTCCTGGTACACAATTATTTTCTCATTCTGCCACTAATAGCCCATTTCTGATCCCAATTCCTTCTGTATATTATGATGAAGAGGTGGTCCCAAGTCTTCTCACTCAATTCTTTTTCCCCTCCTCTTCACTTTTCTAAGGACCAGTGGGTTCTTAGTGTTATTAACAGAGTTCTGTGGTTTGGATATTTCTGTACCCTAGGCCAACCCCGCCCTTTATCCACAGTTGATACCTTCTGCTCCTGCCCGAGGGGCATAATGGCTACCATGGTTGCTTTTACAAATCCAGAACAGGGTACCCCAAAAGTGCCCAAGACGTTTTGGGTGAAAAAAATGAACCATCACAGCTCCCAAGAGAAAATTATCATGAAGCGCCTTACCCCTCTCATGTACAGGTTCAGTTTCTTTATGAGTATTCCTGCTCAGCTGTTCTTGTAGACCCTGGTATGCATTCCAAAATTCTTCATCTTGGGACACATCTACTGGTTGGGACTCTGCTGGCTTCAGCCTAAAGCCTGGGGCCTCTGCTGTTTCTCCCAAGAGCATTCCCTCCTTTCCCAGGTCATGGACTGTAACCTAGAAATAATCCCCATCCTTATTACCAAAGAACTTACTTTTGGTTTGGGGGGGGATGGATGTAGAGAGAGGAACAAGTGTACAGCCCAGATTGTTTAAAGACAAAAGGACTTAAAAACATATTGTGCCACTAATGTTCCACAAAGAAACATCCACAAATCTGAGAAAATTAGACTAAAAGGAAACAAGTTGTTGTCCCTGCCAGCCCTCCAACACAGCAGCTTCAACTCTCTGCATACAGTTCAGCTCAGGTCACTGAGAAGGACTGGGCAGGTTGCCTATTTTAATGCTTGTCAGAACTTTCTCTTGACTTAGATCCCTGCCTTAGTAGTTTTCTGTCTTCTAGTTTTCTCTGAAAATTAAAGAAACGAACAAAAAGTTTTCCTATCAGTCAAACTTTCCCTACAGCCAGCAAAGGTTTTCAGAGAATGGGGATAGACCAGAGAAAAAAGGGAAAGGAAGAGTGGCTCCAATCTATCTCCAGATGTTTTTGACACCAAACATATGTCCTACCCTGTATTCTTCGCAGCAGATCTGAGGCCAGCAGGTGTGTTGCCACCTGCCCAAAAGCATACCTTGGCTCCCTACTTGTCAGCAGAGACAAGGACCAACCACTAAGGAAGAGCAGTAGAAACCGCAGTGAGGACATTAATCCCCAGTGTCTTTGCTATTCTGTTGGGATCTTTCTTTTCCAAATCTTTATTTCTCCTTTTCCTTTCTGTTTTATCTGCCTTTGCACTCTTCCCCTAGATGTCTGATCTCTCCTTCTCCTTAATGCCCTTGTTTTCCTTTGGTTTCTTAGGTGGTTTCCCTTTTATGGATATGCCCTTTCCTCCTTAATTATGGTCTTTTAATTGTTTCTAAGCACCCAAGTCTTATCTCCTTGGCCAAGCCAGAGTAGGCCAATCACTCTCAACTCACCTTGGTTCCAAAGAGAACAAAAAGCAACTCTCTTTCTCTAAGGCCAGGGAAGTCTGCCAGTTTCTAAAACCTGTGGACTGACTTTTCTGTGGGCCTGTAGTTTCAATTCCCACCTTAAGTTTCCTAAAAGAACAATACAATAATTACCTAATCCATTTAATTTCTCACTGAACTGCCTCTACCCCCACTATATCTACCTTCATTTTATTTCACTGTAAATGCCAGGAATCTTTCTTCTCACCCCATTCCACATTTGACCAGATTCCCTCTGCAAGTGTTCTACCAGGGCCACAGCCTCCTCAATGCTCTGTGGATGGTGCTTCTGTATCCAGGTCTGTGTCTCCCCAGGCAGAATAGTCAGGAATTGCTCTAGCACCAGAAGTTCCAATATCTGCTCTTTTGAACGAATCTCTGGCCTCAGCCACAGATAACATAATTCTTGAAGTTGGTTGACAGCCTCACGAGGTCCAGCTGCTTCATGATAGTGGAAGTTCCGGAAGTGCCAGCAACAACTCTTGGAATCAAGACTATCTGTTTGTGGAGATTTTTTACTCTGACTGGAGCTCTCTCTCACAGGCCCTGTGGTCTCCCACAGATCCCTGATTTGAGGGTCCAAATACTCAGCCACCTTAAGATCTATCATCATCATTGCTCCAGGAAGTTTTGCTCCTGTGTCAGACACCCGACTGGTGGTACAAAATCAATAAAAGGATCTTCTTTCTAAAGGCACTGAAGGCAGAAAAAAAGGTACATGTCAATAAGAAAGTCATATGAACCTTATTACCTGCTACTAATGAGAGAAAAAATGAACAGAAAAGGTCATCCTGCCTTCCCTTCAGAATCAAGTACCAGGCCCTTTGTCTCTCTCCTTTCCTATTACTCAACTAAAGTACAGCACAGTTCAGAGAAAACAAATGCCAGCTGATGAATGTCTCTTTTAAAAAAACAATTCAGGAAAAATTGGTGGATGAAAAAATTGGTACTCACTTGCTGAAAGGAGTTTTGGGATTATCCAAATATTTAATTGGTGTGCCTCCTGCCCCATCTTTCCCATAAGGAAAGAGTAAGAGAAAATAAGAATATAAGAACATTCTGAGTGTCTCTTAAATTTTAATGGATCATCCTAGCCTATCTTTAGTAAGGGGAGGGAGGATACAACTTCTATGACCCCTCATCCTCTTGTGAAGATGTTAAATCTTCACCTCCAAGAACATTTGTTCTCCCTTCCACTGTGTGAACACACTGGCAAAAGAGCTGAAAGAGTAAGACTGATGTACAGTAGCCCCCCCTTATATAAAGGGGACATATTTCAAGGCATCTGGCAGATGCCTTAAATTGCAGATAGCACCAAACTACATGCATACTTTAAAAATTTTTAATTTTAATTTAATTTTGAGTCAGTTGCCACTCTGTTGTCCAGGTTGGAGTACAGTGGCATGCTCACAAGCCACCGCAGCCTCGACCTGCTGGGCTCAGGTGATCCTTCCACCACAGTCTTCCAAGCAGCTGGAACTACAGGCACATGCTACCATGCCCGGCTTACTTTTTGATTTACTGTAGAGATGAGGTCTCACCAAGTTGCCTAGGCTGGTCTTGAACCCATGAGCTCAGGTAATACTCTCACCTCGGCCTCCCAAAGTGCTGGGATTACTGGCTTGAGTCACTGTGCCCTGCCTCAAACTTTTTTTTAAAAAGTATGATAAAGTTTAATTTACACATTAGGCACAGTAAAGGATTAACAACATAACAAAACACTGTAAAGAGTTATTTAAAGTTATAAATTAAGCTGAGTGTGGTGGCTCATACCTGTAATCCCAGCACTTTGGGAGGCTGAAGTGAGAGGACTGCCTGGGTCCACAGGTGCGAGACCAGCCTGGGCAACATGGCGAGACCTCATCGCTACAATAAGTTAAAAAAATCAGCCAGGAGTGGTGGTGCATGCCTATAGTTCCAGTTACTTGGAAGGTTGAGGCAGAAGGATCGTCTGAGCCCAGCAGGTAGAGGCTGTGGTGGCTGTGAGCATGCCACCGCCTTCCAGCCTGGGTGACACAGTGAGACTCTGACTCAAAACAACAATAACAACAACTTATAAATTATTCATTGCTGAAATTTTCCATTTATTATTTTCTGGACAGCGGCTAAACACAGGTAATTGAAACCCAGGATGGGGGGGTGGTTAGCTACTATAGAAGGAAGGTGATTAAGCAAAAAAGTAGCCTATTCTCAGAAAGCATCTCCCAACTAAGCAACTAGACATTCATCATTCTTCTTTGCAAGACATACATGGGCATGCAGACGACTTAAATGAGTTTTAAAACTTCTGTTTACTTGACCTGGAAAAAATTATAAGAGGCTTCTGTTTACTAAATATCGAGTCGCGAAAAAAGGAGAATGGGAGTTGGTGATGATGCTGAAACCTTCTACTGACTCTCTATTTCTTCAAGGGTCATTTACCCCCGAGCGGGGCTGAAGAGAGCCTCGCCTTCCCTGAGGTGAGCCAGCACAAAGGGCACCGAAATTCCGCCCAGGATGCCACTGGTATCCAAAGAAGTGGCCAGCTCCTCGCTGCCCACCCCGGCTCCGGAGGCACGAGGATACCTCTGACGGTTTTGCCTCAGCGGAAGCTGCTAGTTCTGAGGCTCAACGGACCCATCCCCCGAGACAACACCGGCCGGCCACGAAAACGTCAGTGAACGCAGAAAGGCTTCTCCGGGTGCAGCGGTCGAGCGGTTGCCGCCCCCACTCGGACACAGCCCAGGTTTCGACAGGCGTGTCCGCGGAAACCGGTGCTGGCGGGCAGTGGCAGAGTGAGCTGCAGCCGCGGCTCTGAGCCGGAGCAGCACAAAGTGGAGAGAGACCGGCTCGACTGCGACCCCGACTCAGGATCGGGCCGCCCGGTCCGGAAACACCGCGGCCGCAGCCCACGGAAAATGGCTGCCTTTCCCCGGTCACCTCGCAGCCGCCACCGCGGCTCGGGGGAGTCTGCGGCCGAAGACCAGGGGGAAGCAGCTTCTCGGTTACCTCGGACAGATGCGCGTCTGTGGAGGCCGCTTCCCGCTTTCTCGAGGCCAAATGCAGACCGCCGCGGCCCTCGAAGCTGGGCCCGGCGAGGGGAGCCCGGGAAACAGGCCTCGCACCACCCGGCGCTCACACCCCCTCCTGGCCGCGCCCACACCCCCGCCTGGCCGCAGCGGGAGCGCACGATCACCCACCGCTTCCTCGTTGCGGCCCCAAGCCCGCGAGTGACCGGAAGCGGAAGTGACGTGTTCCGAGGGCTCGCGCAGCCCCGCCCCACAAGTCTCTGCCCCCTCGCCCAGGAGTCTGGGCTGGTGCACCCATGGGTGCCGAGCCTCCGTCTCTCCCGCGAGGACGGGGCGCTTGCCCCGGCTCAGCTCTGGAGGGGAGGAAAGGTTAATGCCACCGAGTCTCCAAGCTCGCCGAAGCCTAGAGGGCCCTGCACCGGCAGTCGCGTGGGTGTCGCCGTCTCGGGTCTCCGCTGTGGGAGGCGTCGCGCGTCCACCTCTGTCCTGCGTGGCTTTCGGGCGGCCGGTCGGCGGCGTCTGGTCCCCGGGAGCCTCGCCCGGTAAGGGTCGCCGCCCCGGTGTGGAAGGGCTGCCGCCCCCCTGCGCGCGCCGCGCTCTTGGCCTTCCTGCGACCCAGCCGGCCGTGTTCGAACGGTCGTCGCTCGGCTTGTCGCAGCCGCCTGGAGGACAAGGCAGTTTTGTTCCTCTCTGGCCACTCACTAGATTAGGAACAACGGCCCCGAGGGTCTTACACCATTTTCTGGGTCGCGTGGCGCATTCCTCACAACTGTTACTTTTTTTTTTCTTTTCTTGTGAGGTAGGTTTTAATCTGTGAAATGGTTTTTATTTATATTTTCTCCTTGACAGAGAAATTGAAACCTAGGAAATGACATAGCTTACCCGTGGCAACTGCTCAACAGGAATGGTCTCCTGTTGTCACATCTTCTGCTGTTTCTACTACAGGATGCTTCCCTGGAAGATGGAAGCCTTGTTTTTATCTTGTCTCCTGCCGTGTCTAACACAGTGATGTGGGTAAGATAGGCATTCCAGGAATATTTACTGAATCGTATTTGTAGGTCTCTTGAGTATTTCAGGTTGTCAGTGATCTTCGAATTTTCAGCGTGTTTTTAATGTCACCAACTCCCATTTTCTCCTTTTATGCTGTGAGAACTCCAAGGAAATAAAAGTTGATTTGGAGTTGGGAAAAATTAGAAAAGACTGAGGAATTTTGTCCAGAGCAGGAAGTGGCGACACATTCCGGCAGAGGGAAGGGTAAGAGTAAAGGTTTGAAAACTAGAAAGGTAGCCGGGCTCGGTGGCTCAGCCTGTAATCCCGCGCCTTTGGGAGGCTGAGGTGAGTGCATTGCCTGAGCCCGCGGGTTCGAGACCCGCCTGGGCAGCGAGACTTCATCTCTACAATAAATAAAAAAAAATCACCTGGGCGTGGTAGCGCATGCCTGTAATTCCGGCTACTTGGAAGGCTGAGGCGGAAGGATCGCCGGAGCCCAGCAGGTTGAGGCTGCGGTGGCCGGGAGCGGCCACTGCACTCCAGTCTGGGCGACAGAGTGAGACTCCAACTCAAAAAAAAAAAAAAAGAAAACTAGAAAGGTTAAGATTGTAAAATCTGTAGTACATACCTACTTAGTTGTACTACATTTAGAGGAAGAGCTTAAAAAGTTAGAAAATTAGTTTATGTGCACCTTATACTGGAGTCCCTAGAATGGGAATGAGAAGATTATGTTTAAGAAAGTAAATGCTGGAGCACCATTTGAGGATTTTTGATGGAACTTTCTAGGGCAGTTCATCTGAGGGAGTTTAAGGTGAGAATGAAGATGAGAGGCCATTCCAGACCATTACACTATTTTTGCTTTTGGATATAATGGCATTATACTCCAAGGCATAGACCTTGATTCTTTTTAAGTGAAAGATTAAACAGAGGCAATAATGAGCACCTGCCTAAATCACTTGAATATATGACAAAGCAGGTTCATTTCCTTAGAATGTGTCAGGTTGGACTTAATTTCTTCAAAAGTAATTATTGTTCTCAGTCTTTCAGAGCCAGTGGACAGTAATGCCCTTAGCATTGAGAGTCTCATCAACTCCAATGTTGAGCACATAATTAGAATGTACTAAGTTGAAGAAGTGAATTTCTAGCAGCAGTGCCAAGCAGTGACCTTAGATATCATTGGTAGGCCTGATTCATAACATACATAAGGAGTTGGTTAAAGGGAGAAGAAAGTAGGAAAAGAGATCCTATAGAAAGAAGAGGAAGCAAGGTACAAATTGTGAATAGTGAATGAGGGCCACTGATGATTTTAATTTTAATCTTTTGTTTTTTGAGTTGGGGTCTCACCCTGTTACCCAGGCTGGAGTGCAGTGGCACAGTTACAGCTCAACTCCTGGGCTCAAGCAAGCCTTCCTCCTCAGCCCCCAGAGTAACTGGGACTACAGGAGTGCACCACCACACCCAGCTTGTTTTTTTGTGGTGACAAAGTCTCTGTATGTTGCCTAGGCTAGTCTCGAACTCCTGGGCTTAAGCAGTCCTCTCACCTTGACCTCCCAGAGTGTGCTGTGATTATAGTTTTGAGTCACCATCCTTTTTTTTTTTTGTTTGTTTTGTTTTTTGAGCTGTAGTCTCACTCTGTCACCCCAGGCTGGAGTGCAGTGG